AATAAAAAATCCGGCTATACCGATTTTTATATATTAATTAAAACATCGGGAAAATAGTTATATATTTATAACGGTTAGATTTTTAGCATTTATTTAAATAGGACTACTTACTTTTAACTAAAAAGCCTACTTTATTATATATACAGATTTAACCCCTGCATTTTATAAATAAGTGTCGTTTTGCAAATTTTTGCAAATAGATATTCTTAACGTATAGGTTATAGCTATACCGGAACCACGGAAGTAAGCCGATTTTAGGCCTGACAAGTAAGGAAGCGACGATAGTGTTAAGCAACAATCAATAGATTTAGCTAGAGCTCATGGTCGTATATATCTAGGGTATATTTGGGTGGTAAAGTACGGATTGACGAGCGCAGGGCAAAAACAGGTCAAGTGTGGTGGAGAAATCCACATATCTAGTTTCATATCCTGCAGACCTGTAGTATCATTCTATTCCGTATCAGGCGGAGAGTTTTCGTCTGATCAGACTACGGAATGGTGCGGGACGGTGCGAAAGTCAATTGCAAGATTTGCCATAATCCAGGTCCCATACAGGTAGGTTGTTGCAACGGCTAAAAACAACGATTGCGGGGAAGATCGATCTGCCACCATTCCAGAAGGAGGCACGGTGGGACATTATGACCAGTTGAACTCTAGCAGGTGCGTTCTGCGGTGACTTGCGTGTCTTCCGCGTTGTGTTTCGAGACATCTGCACCGTTGCGGCGACTCACGACACACCAAACGGCCGCGACACCACAAATTCCAACGGTCACCCCATCCCGTCTCTGTTTGCCATTGGCAGTCCTTTTTGGCATGCAATTCATTTTATCTCTCTTCTAATGAGCCAATTGATTTTTTAGTCATTGCTTCGTCTCTTTTGGGGTAAGCGCCAAGATCTTGCTTAGTGTGTGGCATGGCTCCTTTCAGCAACAGCCAGATCCCACCTCCAATATCCATCATTCCCGCCATTGAGACGCCCGACGAACACGACGGACACAACAAGCACAACGACGACGACAATTACAACTATCACGACGACCACAATCACTTGAGCTACACCCAAAACAACACTCTCTACGCGCCACCAAACGCCTGGGCAGGCGATAGGCACAACGTTCGTTACAGCTCCAAAAGTCTCTCGCCTGTCGCCCCAATTTTCCCAAATCACACGTCCCTCCTGGCCCCAAGGATGTCGTCTACCGATGACTTCTCTCAACAGAACGAAAACGCGAATCCCGCGCCGAATCCGTTCAACTTCCAGACACAAGACATATCCACCGCTCCCATAAGACCAAACGTCGGGCAGCGTCGCGGTCACAAATACAAGCACTCCTCCGTATCAGCGCAACACCAGATCTTCCTGGAGCCACCTCCACGGCCACCTCTTGCGCTCCCTCGCGATCTACCGATCCCAACACTCAAAGAGACATGGGGCTCCATGTCCAAAGACCAGCGAAACCGCCTATACTGGTGTCTCTGCCACGCCCTTGTAGCCGTGGTCCTGTTCCTCTCCGCCCACGGCTCGCTAACCATGACCGCGCTCTCCCACCTCGTCTTCTTCGACGTTGGTAGCGCATTGATTTGCGTCGCCGTGGACGTGCTAGGGAATTTCGAAGTCTGGAAACGCAGCTCTATCCGCTATCCCTTCGGACTCGAGCGCGCCGAGGTCTTGGCCGGATTTGCAATGAGCATCTTTCTCATATTCGGTGGTTTCGACCTCGTCAGCCACAATGTTAAGCACATACTTGAGGGCCACGGTCCGAACGAGGACCATTCCCATGCACACGCGCACGAACATGATGAGCCACGCATACCTTTGGGAAGTGTAGATTTGGTGAGCTGTGCTGCCCTCGTGGCTACGCTTATCAGTGCGTACGGACTACGCAATCATTACCGCATTAGCAAGGTCATGCGTGTCAGTTATTTGGCGAGCTTGCCTAGTATTCTGAGCAATCCTTTCCACTTCTTGACGTTATCGACTTCAGCGCTGTTAGTGCTTTTACCGCTGCTTGAGATTAAGCTCCATATCCTCCTCGATAGTGCCATCTGTGCGGTCATTGCCATCTCCATGTTCTCCCTCGGTGTCCGGCTTGCGATAGCTCAGGGGCTCATGTTACTCATGAGTTATGGCGGCAGACCTTCGCAAGTCCAGGGCAAAGTCAAGGAGTTTGGCGTCTCGGACGTGCTGAAGGAAATCGAAACTGAACCGAGTGTCGAGAGGGTCGAAGAGGCGCAATTCTGGCAGGTTCACTATGGACTCTGTATGGCGAATTTGAAACTCAGTGTCAACAAGGGGTGCGATGATGCCACATTGAGTAGGGTGAGGATCAGGATTCAGAATCTAATCCAGAATCGCCTTGGAGAGGGTTACGGACGAGGCGGGAGCTTGAGGTGGGAAGTTAGCCTACAAATGGGGAGCCAAGGTGCCGGTTCTGGTGGCTTATAGGAAAGAATCCGGGGTTCGGGGCGCTTTCGGCGTGTGTGGCCAGGAGGGTACTTCTGGATGAGAGGAGGGGCGGGCAAAACATGGCGTGGCGTGGCGTGCATGATATGATATAGCATTTCCTGGCGTTGGATTACTGTTACTGAGTACATGACACGCTTTTATGTGTGTTGGCGTCTCCATTAAGATATCCCTCGTTGTCGAGCATAGATGAGCGTGTGTGGGGGATGGTCTGGAGTTGGGATATGAGATATTAGATGTACATATGACTCCCTTTGAGAGCTAGGGAATCGAAATATTTATTGTATAATTGAGAGTCTTGGATTGCCTTCTGTTTTTAAAGTTCTCTGCAAAATGCGCATCGTATCTTTACTCTGCATTTGATTTTGTGGTATCAATATTCCGTAATCAATCCGTAAGATTGCACTCTACTTAGGAGCTGTTGCCTCTTGCATGGCAAGTCAGATATTGACACAGTATTCACTACATTGCAGATGATTACAAGCTTGACAACGGGACTTTATTCAATCGGACTTCAGCAGCCAAGAGGAGGTTTGCGTCCACGAACGATGGCTGAGCAACTATGATACACTCACATACATCGCCAAGCGACAAATAAGTCAAAACATAGAAATGGCCACTTCTCTATATTTGATAACCGTCATGATCTTGATAAAATCTCTCCTGACTCTCATGACTGTAAGTCATACTAGTTTCAATAAAAGAGATTAGGAGAAGTGATACTCGCTTAGAAATAAGGCGGTACGTGTCTACTCGGCGGGTCGATAAGTTTACGCAGTTCCAACCATCCTTCGAAACATGTTCTTTGTGTTATTGGGTATGTATAACTTGAGAGGAATTAAAGACCACTTCTGCTGTTCCTACCTTGACGTGAATTCTGGGACGTTTAGTAGAGAACGAAGATTTGCGTAGTAACAGAATCGTTATGGTAAAACATTCCCAGAATACTGCTGGTTGGTATCGTCTTGCCCGTAGCTGCGCCATCCGATTCTTAATCTTTAGAGTCAGGATACAGTTTTTTAGTCTGTCTATACAACAGGAACAACCATGATGTCACCAGGGATTATCTCATATGTTGCAAACCCAATATTAATAACCTGCTCTTTAGCTGTGTCAACTTCACTCCTTATATTCATCGTAACCATAATCTGGAGATGCATGTATTTATAACAGATGATACCCCGTAGTGAAGAACTGATGAAGTGCAATACTACATGTATCTATATATACAGTCATGAGTACGAGATGTGAAAATGTCGTTAAGGGTTAGTCCTGGTAAAACGCGAATTTCTCGTGCAAATGGTCGAGTGTAGAGGACCAAGCGTGAAGATGTTGATGTTCTAGGTATTCGGCTAAATAGTGTAATCATCATAACGCAGATTACTCGTCAAATATTTAACAACACACTTAGCTCATATGCTTAGACCGGTGTCCTCATTTTCTCCTCACGTAGCCACATCAGTTTGTACTCTCATTGGTAGGATTATGCTGTACCTGCTATACCGGCTATACAGCATATCCTGCTCCTAGTCCAGTCCTCTCAAGAAACTTACAGATACACTTTTATTGAACGCGTTGTCCTCATGCATTGACCGAAAACCAGTAGCTAGCAACATAGACTGACTGTTATTGTATGTCTCCTCTGGTTCATGAGGCAAAAGGCAGAGACTCAAGTGAGGGTACGTAGGGTCTCTTGCCAGTAGGAGCACTTGCTCTCAGATCCGTCGTCATCTAAGTCTGCACCGGTGTCAACGCTATGCTAAAGACATTGACACCAAGACTTTGTTATGTATTCATGCCGCCGTTCCATAACCACCTTACTCATAAGGATAGCAGCATTAATCCTTTGAAAGATCGCCTGGGGTTATTCAGGATCCTATCTATTAAGATTTACGCCATGTCATTTAGCCCGACCTATAGAGTAGTGGGGTCGCGAATTGTCAAACAGCCGAGCTGTGAGTAACGCTGCTCCACCACCCATTCTTGCTTCATATTCCACAATATCCAGCCGAAACCTCAACAAATCATAACCGCTTGCCCGGTTAGCTCAATCGGTAGAGCGTGAGACTCTTAATCTCAAGGTTGCGGGTTCGACCCCCGCATTGGGCTCAATTCCTAATGCATCTCAGTAAACTGAGACCAACCAACCATTTCTTTTGCCTTTTTTTGGCCTTCGATGAAGCGGACACTACAGTCTCTTCTTTTGGCCCTTTTCCCTCTTGTAAGGAGGAGCTGCGCGCCGAAACACCCAACCTCATATGGGCTCAGTGTCCCAGTGCCTATTGATTACAACGAGAATTGCATCTTCTCTTCGCCTTTGATGCTTTGGAGCTCTGTATCTTTTGCTCTTTTTCCCCCTTCGTGTTTTCCCTGTTTTCCCTGATTGGTATGTTTCACTCTCCCCGCCCTCGCTCTCCCTTGGGCAGTGGTGGGCTGCTTAGGGTGTGACTATTTTCTTTAGCCCGTCACCGGCATATTCGTGGCGTCATATACTACGATAATTCGTCGATTCTCAACCATCACACAGCACAACTCATCCGAATTGGTGTAACGGTTAACATTGCACGTTTTCACCGTGCGGCTCGGGGTTCGATTCCCCGATTCGGAGCATTATCTTTTGCATTTCGAAAATATTTCGACTGCGAAGCTGAATGCTGACTTTTTGGCAAGTATCATGATGTGTAGATACAGATGTGACATTTCACCGAGTAGGAAGATCACAATCGTCGAGATTTTTTACCGCATAGTCATAATCCAAAACACACGCATGACACAATATTTATTTACACTCAATTTTATCAAGCCATCATCATGCAAATAGTTGTCTCCGACAAGAACCAAGCCCCCCACTCATCAGAGCAGAACACCGCATAAGCAACAGGTCCAAGTCGGACCGCCACGATCATTTTGAACGCGACGGGGGTTTTCATTCTTGCTTCACTGTCCACACTTGCTCGCTGTGATTCAGTCGAGGCGGCAAGCTCTAGCATATTTAGAAGCTGGGTCATAGAAATCAAAATGGTGAAGGGATCGCGACGCGTCGGTGATGCTCTTGATACATTTTCCTCAAGAGCCATCCTGCGATGCGATCTTGCTCGGTCGCAAAGTGCAATGCGACATGACGGCACATACAAACCTTTTGGATCCTGGGATTGCATATGTCAGGACTATCTCAAGATGAAGCCATCCATCTCTGCTGTGTTTTGTGTGGGTTGTCGAGAACATTCTCTGCATGATTGAAAATTGAAGGTGTCGAATGGTTGAAGAAATATGAGGGAGCAGAAAATTTGGTAGGACTTCAAGCGATGGTGGGGCAGTGCACGGATGCTCGCCATTGTGGAGGTCTTTTGGTTTTTTGTTCCGACAGCCGCCGGCAAGTGCATGTGAGGCAGTCGCTCACGATGCATCATTTGCCAGGTAGGAACAGCAAGGTCCAGGTAGACATTACGTACAGTATATCTTACTATACTTCAGCTCTATTGGCGATGAACCTGAAAATATGACTATGTCATTGTGGCAAGCAGATCATGTTATATCATAGATCTTCATGCTGTCCAGAGTGGACCGTAGTGCTCAATCTAAAGTCACTACTTAGAGCGCTGTTCGACTATTTGCAAACGGTATCAAAGAGTCTGGGTTAGAAGATGACTATTTAACTGTTCAGAACAGTGTACATGACAACATATGTCATTTTGTAACTAGCATGGTGTCTTATTCATGCTTGCTCCATGATGTACCGCCGAAGAATGTTTCTTGGAGCATTGGAGTGCAAAGTTTCATTCATTGATCATCAGTGACAACCAGGCCGGTTTATCAAAATACATATGAAGACTCGTATCACTTTTAAGGATATGGCTAAGCTGCCCCCCTCTCTCAGAATTGTGAACTAACAAATCTTAAGTGTACTGCCTCTCTCAAACCAGAAGTGCGTTTGGCACTGTAACTCGTAGTACATTCGTTGTCCACCTTATTCACATTTTGCTCTCTGCAGGTGGCCTATCAGTCCATAAGCGGATATCACAACACGTGTCGGGTTCTCGCTGGCACTACTTACTCACTTGAAGTTATTCTTCATCTCTCGCAGAGCCGCCATCACCTCAACTGGTTCCGTCTTGCCTGTAGCCTTTTGGATCTCAGGATCCTATATCCATCGCTATTGTTAGCCTACGCCTTGCGCCGCCTAGCTATCCAGTGATGTGCTTTCGGATGTACTTACGTCTACCCGCATGAACACATTGTGTTGCTAGGTATACAGCGGTCAGCTTGTGTCGTTCAGATTAGTAATCTCGGGCTCATACCCTCTCATCACCAATTGTAAATTTCCCTTGGGTCTCCTTGTTGCTATCGGCGAAAGACTGCAACTTTTGGATTGCTGCGTTCTGCAGAACCGACACGCCGAATTTGACGTTTGCTTTCGTGTATTCGTGACCGGGCTGTGAGAGTGAGTTTTGTGTCGACAAACTCTCGTTCACTGATAGGTAGTTGGACTCACGTAGACCTTGGTATCGTCCGGTAGTGCGGCAAGGGTCTTGTTCAACGCGATGTGCATCTCGTCGGCAGTTCCCTCGAAGAATCTTCCACAGCCTAAAGGGTCGCGAATTAGTTAAACATACTGTATTTATCGTCGACGGCGTGGTATCGGAACTGCCACCGTAGGCTCATGGGAGAAGAACTCACCGCCGTGGAAGAGTGTATCTCCAGTGAAGACGACCTTATCGTCACCATCTTGCATGAACCAGCAGATGCTGTCTTGAGTGTGACAAGGCGTGTACACGCCCTTTACCGCTATACTTCCGATGCTCCATTCTTCACCATTGCCTGGTGTCTTGGTGACAGCTTCGCACTTTTCTCCGCCGATGATCGGTAGGTCCGGCTTGCTCAGCTCGCCTAGCTACTCATGCCCAATGCTGTCAGATTTCTGTAGTTAACCGATTTGATCTTTACACTGACCAGCTTTTTGTTTCCTCCGGAGTGATCCCAATGACTGGAAAGTGTCAGCACACTGTTTCGTACGCCGAATGCGGACTATAGCTAACAAGAACGTAACTCACTGGTGGGTATTGACGATAGCTTTGAGGTTGATCTTGCCGGCTTGGATAGCCTCTTTCAAGACAGGTGCGACTTCCTCAGGGTGTGCGGGATCGACGATAACAGCATCTTTGGACTTGTCATCAACAACAAGATACGCGTAGTTGTCACTACTCCCCGTCCCTTTGATATCTTATGGTTAGCCTCTTCGGATGTGTTTTCTGCCCAGTGCGCTGTTTGCCTGAACACCGAAGAGCAAACTCTGCCCAGGAAAGTAAAAAGAGACAATATCCGTGTCATTATTGTGGACACTGATATATGAGATAGAACTTACACATAGGGATTGACTGGATATGCATGGTGCGTGATAATGCTGGCTGAATATCTTGTCAGTGGAAGGCCTCTAGCATCTGCTCTTCTCCAACTCGGCCGTGAGTATGCCCCAAGCCCCCTCTCCTCTCCCCCAACACATTCCAACACGGACAGATCCGAGACGTCCGCCTTGTGGTAAGGCATTATGAAAGGCAAAACGTACAGTCCGGGCAAACGACGCGTATATGGTGTTTCGAAGAGCTAGAGGTCGTGAAGCTCTAGCAAGGAAAGTCATGAGGAGGGGTTGAGGTCGCTTGACTGGTTGCGTCATTGCTTGTTCGTTACTCGTCTATCGCTTACAAATGGGCGGTATCTCATATGACAATTGGATGCGAGGTACGTATTCCATGCAATGCAATGTAATTGAACAGATCATGGTGTCAGTGACGCAATCATCAGAGCTGCAAATCACCATGACGTTGACTGTCTTAGTCGGCCCGCCCGCCGTCTGGCAAGCTTGTCTGTCGGCTGAAAGAGCAAAACCTCCATATCGACCGTGGTAGATACGTGTGAGATGAGAGTGATCTCTCTGGCTACTTTGGTCAAGCATTGAGGACTATGCATTTGTTCGTTCTTGTTTGTTCTTAGTCCTGTAGCTAGAAGGCGCTGTAAGCCAAATGGGATATGTTTCCAATTTGCCGATACCATATCCTGGAGGCATGTCATGTCCAATTCCATGTCTAACTTGTCAAGCCAGGTCATCTCTAGCTAAGCTACTACCTATAAACTTCACCTATAGGCCGTGCCGCCCACGGCTCTGGACATCGAGTCCAACCTGCCGTCCAGCCTGATGCCTGAGCAGGCGGATCTTCTGGCAATGCATTCGCGACATCGTCGGAATCTGTGATGCGGGTATCGATTTGATCTAATTCGCTTTTCATCGTTTGGAGCTCAGCCCGAATCGCATCTATGCTCCCTCTCGTGCCGCTGTCTCGAATGGCCGCGGCTCGAGTCTTCGGCGACACGGCCGGCGTTCCTTCTAGAATTACCCCTAAAAGCTGTAAGGCTTTAAGTTGCAACGTAGAGTCTTCCGCCGAATGTGCGATATCTTGCAGTGTCAACATTAGAGTGTCTTTATCCCAAGACTTCCATCGTTCTTGCAAGTCCTGCCTGGCCGCTCTATCCTGCTCAGTGAGGTATTTGATCATTGTCGTTATTCGAGGGCTAGATGCCAAGTCATTTTCAACTTCATCCGTTCCACTGGATGTAGTAAGGTCCTTCCAATAAAAGTCATAAATCCATGCAAGAGCGTTCTGTGCGCCACTTCTCAAGTTCTTGAGCGAAGGCAGCGGCTCGTGGGTCGCACGATGTCTAAGCTCCACGAAAGTTGCCGGTAGTCCGATGTTCTTAGCTATCGTGTACATGCCCTGCTTGCGGAACTTGTCCTGCTGACTGTCAAGGAGGCCAGTGACAAAACTGTTGTGGACAAGTCAACAAGCGGGCCTTGCACGGAGACATCTTAAGCGCTGGAATGTTGCTTCGCAGAGTAAGACAAGAAAATTTTGATAGTGAAATGGGACTCCGCCGCAGCGTTTGAAAAGGGAGCGAGCGCCATCATGGACGAGTGGGGTTTATCAAACAATTCCGCGACTGCCGCTAGTGGTGAGTGAAGCGGGTAGCCACGTTTCGGTAATAGCACCGTGCGCAAGGAATGCCGGATAAGATTCCCAATCAACAAACAAAGCGGCTCACAAGAAGAGATGTGTCCCTCCAGGCTGACGAGAGACTGGAATCGGGTCCGAACGTCGGGGCTAGATCAATAGTAGAAAGTGAAATTACGCACCGGCTAAAGGCAGCAGCATAGGACAGGCGGACAGATAGGAAGTTTGAGTAGTCCCTTGTCCTGGTCTCGTGGAGATCGCCGAGCAAGGCATCGGTGAGGAAGGCCGTCGCCTCGATCAGGTGGGGGCAGTCGCCGCGATGCATCCACATGGAGACGTGTGTGACGGCCTGCCTCTGCTGCTCTTCGGCTTCGACTGCTTGCGCATCCGGGCTGCCGTCAGCTGCGAAGGGTGCATTCGCTATGCACGTCTTGGCGGTGCTGGCGGCTTGGGGATAGAATTGCTGACGGACTCGTAATAACTCGTCCCGGTCCCGCCAGGGAGTGTGGATATACTGAACCATCTCGTCAGCGAGGAATGTTGATCGTAAGATTGGCCGGCGACCGTAACGGGCGGCTTGGTGTTGTGTCGCGGGATGGCTTCTCCC